CTATAATAGTGTGTCATGGCTACCTTTCTTTTTTTTTCGCTTTTTTCATCTTTGTTCATTTATGTTAGACTATTTTAGAATTTGTTGAAAAGTTTTTTTTTCCCACCATGAGATGTTTTTTTTTCTAAAATATTTATGTCTTTCATAAACATGGCTTCATTTTTTTTACTTTTATGTATGAATAAGAGTTTTAATTGTTGTTGTTGGATTTAGGTAGAAGTCTGAAAGAAGGGAGAGGTGGTCATAACAGATAGTAGATGCTATCTGTTGAGATCTGGGTCATATTCAATTGTAGGAGGGGTCCGGAAGGAGGAGAATCCTACTATAGCAGATCGAACATAGGTACCAAGTTGGTAACCAAGTTAGTCTTAACTTGTAATTTAAATAACAATTTGGGCTACGGCGCTTGTCGTTTAGAGATAGTTCTTATATGCTATCTGCTGACAAGTTTAGAGTTTATTACTTACCTTCTGAAATGCTCGGTTGTAAAATTTTACATAATCTAAATGAGTTGTACAAAGCCTAATAAAGTTAAAGCATGGCTGCCAAATTTATATATATAAAAAAAAAAAATATGTATGTTATGTATACATATGCATTTGAAATATTTATACAGTAATAAAAATAGTATATATATTGCATATACAATAGTTGCTCTATATACGGATAAAAAGGGATAATGTGCTATGATAATTATACAAGTACTACATAAGTTATATTTCTTATTTAATCGTTATTTCAGTATTCTCATGTGTTCAATCATAATCATGTTAACTAAGTTAGAAGTCACCATATAGATCACCTAATAGTCCAAGATCATTTGTTGTCACTACCTTTATCATTGTTGCTGCTCTCTTCGTCATCACTGTTCTTTTCATAATCGCTATCTTCTTCGTTGTTACTATCTTCTTCGTCATCACTATCTTCTTTGTCATAAATATCCTCTTCGTCATCACCATCCTTTTTGCTACTACTACTATTTTTATCATCACTATCATTATTGTCGTTGTCACTTTTATCAATATCTTTGTTATCATTTTTGTCACACTTGTTATTACTTTCATTATTATTGTAAAGAATTGATTTACACCAATCTGGATAGTCTTCAGGAAGTACATGATTTGGATCAGTATAAATTTTATTTCACCAACTGATTTGTTTTTTGCAGTTTTTTCCACACAACAAAGAAGTTTTTTAACTAAATAAAAAATAAAAAATTTATTGGAATATAATAAAAAGGTTTTTTTTAACTAAATAAAAAAAAAATTGATTAAAATATATACAATTTCAACATATAAATTCACGTACTTTATCAGATTGCCATGGATGATCTAACACTTTAACTACATGGTGTTTTTCGTCTTCTTTTTCATCTCGGATTTCTTGCTTTATTTCTTCTTAATACAGTTCCTTACCTGTTCCTGAGATTTCATCAGAATGGTATGCTGTATCATCTAAAATAGCCTTGATATCACGTAATGCTCCAGCCTATAAATGTGGATTGAAGTGCTTTTTCTAAAAAGCATTCTTGGTTTTGATCAAATGTTTAAAACCAATGTGATGATGATTCTTTTTCTATTTATATAAATAAAGAACGTTCAATCAAATACAAATAAATATTTAAATAGAAAGTTATATGATGCAGACCGCTTGTCTTCTTTGGTTAATATAATGTCATGATCATTTTTTGGTGATTTTGCCAACATCATTTTTATCATTATTATGTTCTTACTGATGTTTATGTTTTTTTTGTATAATCTTCAGCACTTTCGAGTTGGTATATTCAAACCAAACTTCGAGTGCCTTCATAAGTTTAAGAAGAATATTTCTAACAAATGTTCTTTTTTGTGAAATTCATATTTTTTCTGGATCTACAGCTTTAGATTCATCAAACCCGGAGATTATCATATCAATTTCACTCTAAAAAATTTTTTTTTCAAAAAAAAATAAAAAATAATAAAGAAATAACAAATAAACCAAATATTTTTTGTATATAATATATATAACATTATCATTAATTTTTGTTTATATTGTTTAGACATAGGCTGGAGTTTATTTCTATTTCTGGCTTTTCTTTCATAACCTTGGTCGATCAGCCTAGTGACTTGGAAACTGTGTCATCTTTACTCGCATCACTTTTTGATAATCTCTTGAGGACCTTCTTAATTTTATTAATATTCTTTTCTAATTTGCTGTCTAGTTATACGTATAAAAAAGGAAAAATCATAATATGTAGTGAGTTTTATGTATATTTGTTTGTTATACATATGTACAAATACACATTTATTGAACCTTTCTTTTGTTTTTTGTTTGTATAATGAACTTCATGACCATCATTTCTTCCTTTTTCCTTATTAGTAAGGTTGGTTTTTGGACTGTTCTAAAATCAAAAGAGTTCTTTTCGAATGTTCCTAAATTGTTCTAAATTATTCTAAATTATATAATGCTATAGCATTAAAATCTACATAATAATACTAAAACCAGAAAGGAGTAATACACTTCAGAACTTATTTTTAGCTTCAAATCTGTAAAGTAACTTATTATATTCGTGATTAAATTAGTAAATTAATGATATATACTATAATTTTTATCTAAATTTAGAGAATACATATGTACAATATATGTATGTATATATATGCATCTGTTAATCTGTATGTACAAAATCTAGTAATGGTGCAATAACTGGTTTATCCAAGATTTGTTGATAGTTATTCTTTAAACTTTATTTTACTACATTCCTGGTGTGGGCATTTATACATTGTAGCAGGGACAATAATGAGAATCAATTTATTTATCTTCTTATTTATTTGTTTCTATAAATAAAGTTAGATTGTTATATATATATTAAAAAATAAACTCAAAGCAGATAAAGCTAATAAGTGCTACATTTCAAATTTATCAGCTGGAGATCTGCATAACTCTTTCCTGTACACATTCGGCAGGAATAGAGTTATCAACAAAAAACAAAATAACCACTCCAAGCGATAAAGAAA